TAGAAGTTATAACCAATTTTCTGCTAGTGTATGTTATTTTTAATTTAACTATTCCTAAATAATATCCTATTCTAAGTTTTTTTTTCAAAACATTATTAAATAAAAAAATAACAAAATGCAAGTAAATAGAACTTATTGCTAATTACAAAACATTTTCTACATAACTTCCTTCCTTGGTAAAAGAAGAAGTAGGTTTCAATTTTCCCAGTAGCAATTCTAACCGCGTCTGTTGCATTAAGTCTTTCAACCTCTTGCCGAATTTTCATTTTTAAGTCTTGAACGCTATTAAACCTATTTTTATACACTTCGTTTTTTATGCAGCCCCATAAAAAAAGTCCAGGAGTGTCAGGAGTTGGTCCCGCACCAACCAATCCGAAACGGAAGACGTTGATTTAAACAATTTCTAACAGGCACTACAGTGTGGGTAGATTTCAACTGATACTGTTCGTGGACGCCTAGTTTAATCTAATCTGAATCAGAGCATCGTAGTGCAAGGTTAAATTTTGCTATGGAACACATCGATTGAGCTGATAAAGACTTGGAAAGATTTCTTTGGTCAGATGAAACCAGATTTTGTCTGTATAAGAGCCATCTAAAAATAATTGCATTATCAGCGGTGTGCATGGCAGCGAGGAGTAATGCTTCCAATTATTTTCAGTCTATAAGTTACACTTGGATTTTTGAAAATAACCACAGGGAAGCCTAAACTTTAATCTCGCGTAAATTCTTGCTAAATTTCGATAAATTTACCCAAATCTAAATAATAAACTAACAACAAGTTATATTGTCTGAGCTAATCGTGCAAACTACTTAACCGATTTTAACTAAGTTTTAACTAATCTTCTTTCGACTGTGCTTTAGCTTTACTATGATCATGATAGTGATAATAAAATTAATACCCCAGTAAATATATTAGAGATCTGTTTAAAATGTTAATTCATTAAAGAATCCTATCAATTTTAATGCAAACAATACTTAAATAAATATGTAACTAGTTTTTTAATGCTGGAGAGTAATAAAATGTAAATTTGCAATGAGGGGTCATTAAGCAGGGAGGTATTTTTTTTTTTAATGCGAGACTTTTCGCTTTCTGACAACCAACATACAAAAGCGAAAAGAATACCTAGGTGCGGATTTCGTGTTTGAAAAGCATGTCAAGCATATACATGGGTGAGAAACCGTAGCAGGTAGCTAGAAGTTTTTGGGGCTAGGAAAAACTTAGAAGTTTGAAATTCTGGAACTTGGGTCACACTACTGCCGGTTACACTCTTTTTAACTGTGTGCCTTTTATCCATTTTTGATTTGTGATAAACGCTTCTGTAATAAACTTAATCAGGAAAATAATACCTTTGAAAGCGGTTTCCAAAATTTGATAACCAATAAGTTATTTTCAAAATCAAAAAGTTCTTTTTTTAAAATCAGAGCCCCACTTATTTTTGGATACAAATTCCAAATCTGCATAGTGCTACTACTGTTCGTATTTGCTATAACTTTCCCTATACCTATTTTTAACGGTAAAGTTATTATCCCAGATTTTTTTTTAATCAAAAACAGATGTAATTCTACACTATCATCTAGTAAGCCTTAATTTTGACAGTAAATGAAAGAATGTTGATTTTTATGTCAAAGAAAAATCAACTTGAAGATCTCTTACTTTTGTACAACTAAGTATAAACGAAAAGTATGTAATTTGGGGCTTCTGTAGCCCAAGACCGGGTAAACGCAGAGGTTCGAATGAAATGACTGACATGTCGAGACGAAAAACGCCACCGCGCAGGACGTAAATCATTTATATTAGATTAAATAAAATAACATATCGTGTTACGACCTTACACACGTAAGAGACCACACACAGATCACCTTCATCTCACCTAAGTCACACAGTATATATTTTGCCAACTATATACATAGTCACAGCTTATTTTTCATATGCATACTGTGAACGATTCATCTTTCATATTAACAAAGCAGTGAATATTCAAAAACTGAAATATTCTGGTGCCATTCGTTATTGTATTTCTACTGTGTTTTGAACCAAGTGTAAATGCCTATCAGCGGTGCATTCCTACCGGTGGTGAAGGTTCAAAATAATTTTATTCAAAAAAGGCCTATCATTTTTCAGATTTCCAATCATTTCATGACAATATTGAAGTCGCTAATTATAAATTTTGTACTGACAAAAATTTGTAGGGGTGGGAATGTATAATATATTATGTATTATGATTTTTTCCACATGATCTGTTCATATAATTTGCAGCACATAACATATTATGCAACAAGTGCGGCAATAGTATATTATGCAACACGTGCGGTAAACGACATTTGACTCACGAGTTTATTTGTTTAATAAACGAGTGAGTTAAAAAGTTTACCGAACGTGTTGCATACTATACTTTTTCTACGACCGTTAGTTTTTGGGTCCATTTTCGCAAAACAACACGAATACATTCACTGACATGACCGTCAGAATTGACAAACGTCAAAATTCAAAGCGTGGGAAATATCTCCGATTACTTCTAAATCCGTGCGGTAAAATCCCGGAAATGTCCGAAGTGGCTCGGATCCATGGGAAACGAAACTGATGTGGTAAAGTGACACTTCCCGCACGCTAGATCGCTATTGCACTTAAAGCCTTTACCCGGCGGCATATATTTTTATTTTCTATAAAGTATCAGATTTTCAGGTAGCACAGAGAAAAAAAAATACCGCCTAAAAATGAAGCACCCTAGTAATTAGGCATTTTACAGACGAAAGTAGAAAAACCTTTTTTTTGTCCGGTTACTTTTAATATAAAATTTATATTCAAAATAAGGCAGCTTGTTTAATTCTTTCTCCTGATTTGCAACCACAGTTCTTGTTTTTCTCTTAATCCTTTTTTTCTACTCCTTTCTCCAAAATACCCAATTATACGCCGATATAGTGTGAGGAAAGTATCATTTTACAAAGTCAGTTTAGTTTTCTCTGATCACTTGAATTTTGACGTTTGTCGATTCTGTCGTAAAAAAAATTATGAAACACGTTTGGTAAACTTTTTAGTTTATTTGGCGCGAGCGAAGCGTAGCGGAGCGAATGCTTAATAAACGAGTCCCAGAATTTCAAACTATAACCATTCCTATAAAAATAATCATCGATACAAAAAACTTTTATTTTATAATATTTATAATTATATTAAATTATAAAATCCCTTCAACCAATTTTTTTTATCATATTAATTACCAACAAGTTATATTGTCTGAGCTAATCGTGCAAACTACTTAACAGACTTTAACTAAGTTTTAACTAATCTTCTTTCGACTGTGCTTTAGCTTTACTATGATATGATTACTATGATTTGGAGTTCAGCTTGACCCTAGTTTTTGTTGTTTCTTTTTTTGGGACAAAATTGTATATTACAAAATTGCAGATTTAAACCAAATAAGAATTGTATAATCCATGTTATTTATTTATAACTTCCTCTAATCGCAATAAAATTAGTTGGCTATAGTTGGAATTATACTCAATAGTAATAAATACATTTGTGTTTTTTGTTGGTTAATGTATTCCAAACATCAGTCACTACCAAGTTTAAAAGAAAAGGAGGCCAGATGGTTGTTTATTTTTTATATATCCTTATTTAAAGTTTGTGGATTATGCATCAGTTAATTAAATAATACCAAAAAGATAACAATAGGTAGGTAGGTTCTAAATTACAAGATTTTTTTAACAAATAGGTACTTTTAACAATGAAATTAGAACTCTATGCACACACAGACCATCGCTTAATATTCTTAATGTCTAACACTATATAGCGAAAATGTCACTGTCAATTGCCAACCTGTAATTCATAATAATCCAAATGGGTATAATTCAGACCATAGTAAAAATAAAAAGCAATATATGATATTTATTACATCAAAGTTAATTCAAATCTCTATATAAAAGCCACCAAGATGCTCTGCAACTAAAGCAATGGTGCTTATATATTTCAACGTCCAAAGCTGTTATTGGGTGTGTCTAGTGTCAGCACAATGACGAAAAATGCTATTGAATGGAGGGCAATCTGGCAGATTCATGTTGAACTTTTTTCATGTATCTGTGTTGTATCTAAAATGATGGAGTTTAACAAAGTTAGCATTAAATGGAGTCAATATCCAGCAAAATGTTGCTGATCAGCTGCTTGGGCTTCTGCTCTTAAAAATTTGCGTTTTCTCCTTACAGGCACAGAAAGTGCAAGAATATTCACTGCAGTTCTGTTCCTATCTGCTTGGCATTGAAAAATATGAGGAACAGTGTCCCGTTTCATTATTACTTTTCCACCAATCAATTTAAAACGTACATAGTTTTCTATGTCTTTATTTTATTATAAGATACCCTTATTTTCAAAGGAACTTCTTCTCTGTTCCTTACATAGACCTTTGGGGTCCTTCAACAACTTCAAAACTGTTTTAATGCAAACTTTGGTTTGTAGCCGCACAAACAAAACCTTAAAATTTCAATTCACTTGATACAGGTTACCAATTCTACCTTTCCATTGTTAAATGATGTGTGACGTCAGATGGCCATAACCACAGAAAATTAAATAAAAACAAAGCAGAGAAAAAACCAAAGGACTTGTTCTCTGCAGAAAGCATGCTCTGCCGAAGATCCATAACAAATCGCGACTGGATTTAATAAATATAAAAACTAGAGCCGTGTAAAAGAAAGCAAACTGATCCACCAGCACTGATTTAAAATGTTGACAGTTTTCTTTTACTACTACGGGGGTTTTGTAGGATAGTGAGCAACGTTAACACTACATACCAAAATTTAAAAATGAACTGTGGCAAAAAAAAAAATCTGGGCTTATAGCCCTAGTCTAAACCGTCAACACAGACTGTTTAAGGTAAACTGAGATTTTTATGTGATAATCTAAGATTTGAAATTGGTTCAACACCAATTAATTTGAAAAAACTTTGCGTTTGCGTTGACGATTGATTTAATCATGCAACACAAGCTTAAAGAAGAAGAAGCTAGTGCAATACTGTTAATTTATTGTTTATATACTGTGGGTTTATTTAATTTTTTTGTTGGAAGGAATGTCCAAAAAAGCTTATAGTTTTCAGTGCTTTTTTGGAATTAGTCATTTTCAATTCACTGAAACATTTACAGTTACATTTTTATTTTAAAGTTTTGATATGTTGTAGTTGAGGTTTTTCATTGTTAGATGGTAGTTTAAAATATCTTCATCGTTATCCTATTTTTTAAGTACTGTGAAATAGTTCAAATGAAAATGAGCAAGCACATGTACTCCACTGTGAATCTTACTGACAAGGAATTAAAGGAGCAAGGAAATCGCCTCTACAATTTTAAAAAGTATGAAGAAGCGATAGGTTGTTATAGCAAGGCTATAGTAAGTCTCATCCAAATACCAAACTTTCCTTAAATTAAGTAAAGAAATTTTCTAGATCAAAAACCCAGATGTTGCACATTACTTCACTAATAGGGCCTTATGTTATCTGAAACTTTTAAGGTGGGAACAAGCCTGTACAGACTGTAAAAGAGCTTTGGACATGGACCCCAATTTGGTAAAGGGGCACATTTTCTTAGGGCAAGCGTTGTTAGAATTGGAATGTTATGATGAATCAATAAAACACTTGCAAAGAGGTTATTTTTTTTTTAGCTTATCTTTATATAATTTTTCTTCTTTAACATTTTTCCTTTCATACCATTTTTTTAGCTGTCGACTTAGCAAAAGAGCAAAAGCTTAACTTTGGCGATGACATCGCGGCCCAATTACGATCAGCAAGGAAAAAACGTTTCTCAATGCAAGAAGAAAAACGTATAGCTCAAGAAATAGAGCTACAAACTTATCTCAACGGGTTAATTGAAGATGACAGGCATAGAAAAATTGAAAAAATAAAAATGATTGATGGAAACAGTAACCTGAGCAATGAAAAGATTTTAGAGATTGAGGACAAATGTGTAAGTACTTTATTATTTTTTATCAAAATCACTGACGCACAGGTTTTTACAGAAAATATTTGTTAGGATCATAGATTTTAGGAATCTGATTGATGAATATGAATTTTCTATTCTTTGCACTTGGCGTTATTTAAACTCATGCATTGGTATTGTATATATAAGTGAAGACATTTTCATATTTCTTTTTAGATTTTTAAGTGAAAACCAAGAATATTAGATATATTACTACAGTTTTATGGTTTGTTTACTCATTCATTCCTTCTTAAAGTTTTGTTTTTATTTGTCTTTTTTTTTTGTTGCTTTCACTTTGCTTCTAATTTAATGTTGATTGCCTTCTCTCTGATTTTTTAAAGATAGTAAGCTCAGATTGGTAGTTGCTGCTCACGCAATGACAATATCCGAATAGTCCACAATTTTCAAAATTTCTGTTTTGACACTTCCACGTCTTTGTCGCTTTAGCCACTGACAAGTTCTGTATTGGGTGTATCTCAATGTGTGTAATAACTTGTGTCAAACAAATTTTAAATTTGTGTAGAAGCCTATGAGCAACTGAGGCAACGTATTTGCAAGTAACTGCACTGAAAATTGCACTTTCCTCTCCTGTAAGACATTGAGAATTTATGTAGCTAGAGCCTCTCTTTTAATAGGTATACTCAGTGGTAACATGTCTTCATCCCCCAGGTAGGCCACCTCTTCTCAATTATAGTTGTAGTAGTTGAAGTTTAAAGAACTCCAAGCATCGGCTAAATGTATAAAAATATCTTCAAAGATATTTTTATACATTTAGCCTATGCTAAAATATAAATATAGACCGTACATATATATATATATATATATATATATATATATATATATATATATATATATATATATATATATATATATATATGATGACACTATATTCCGGGATATCATCCGTTCGCTCGTTGAACTCCGACTGGAATCCTGCATCCGACTGGAATCCTGCAAATCCTGCATCCGACTGGAATCCTGCAGACGTTTCGCCAAAATCTCACTTGGCATCTTCAATGCTCGCGCTCCGAGTGTTCGAAGTGTTTTCGGAGCGCGAGCATTGAAGATGCCAAGTGAGATTTTGGCGAAACGTCTGCAGGATTCCAGTCGGATGCAAGATTTGCAGGATTCCAGTCGGATGCAGGATTCCAGTCGGAGTTCAACGAGCGAACGGATGATATCCCGGAATATAGTGTCATCATATATATATATATATATATATATATATATATATATATATATATATATATATATATATATATATATATATATATATATATATATGTTGTTTTTATTACGTTGGAGACTAGCACGATAAGCTTGTCTTTTTACACTCCCTGCTAAGCCATCACACGCTCCTTTGCCATGAGATGTAGCGAAAAAAGTCCAATCAGCAACAACACCAAAATCATTTTTATGATTAACTAAATTGGCAAAATTTTATTTAAATAATAAATGAAACTAATTTTTTAATCACATAATTACATAATTCACTCGGCCCATTTTAAATCACAAAATATTATTATTACAATTAAAAATTATGATACTAAAATATTAACTAAAAAAACACAACTGAACAATGCTTCAGCTTTTATTTTTAATAATTATTTCATGCTTTGCGTATAAACTTATGACACGAGCAGACAGGAATGACTTCTGAAATCATTTTGTTATTTACTAGGATACGTGAAAAACAAATGAAAATTGAATCGAAAAAGATGTGGTGTTTTAAAATTTTAAAGTTGTTTCTAAATTTACGCTGTTTGGTAAAAATAATAAAAAAAATTGATAGTATTCTATATAACATTGTTAAAAAAAATATTAATAATAATTATAATAAAATAACATAAATAATAATAAAAATTGTTTTCTAATAATATTTTGTATTATTATTTTAAATTATCACTGATAAAACTTTCAATGCAGTTCGAGGCGATCGGCGCCCGGCGCGCGGTCATAAATAAATTCACTTTGTAAACTAATGACGAGCAGTGAAATTAATTTTAAACTTAAATGGACAAAGCATGTGACCGATAAAAAAAACATGTTTTTTTTTTACCAAGAAATCAGTTAAATTTTCATTTGTTATCTTAAAAGTTAGTTAATAAATAAATAAAAAGTGTATTTAATTGCAACTACAATCACATCCCACTGCATATAAAAATAGTTGCATACATAAATTGAGTGTTCAATTCAACATTTAACGGTACGAAACACTGATAATGAAATCATATAAATATTTTTTTAAAATAACCACCTTTACCAAACATGTACCTAACTTGAGCGAAAGACGGTAAAATGGGATTTAATTTTTAACATAAAATATTCAAAAGACTTCAAATAAGTTAGAATTTTAGTACCTGCCGAATTCTCTACTATATCATATCTATTGAGTAGTTTCTATGATAAAATTTAATACAATCATATCTTGGAGACCAGGTTGACTTTAATTAATTTCATATTCTTTATCTTTGCTAACTCTTTGTTAGAATAGTTGCAATGGATGGCAAGGCGAAAAAAAAATTCATCCAATCGGGCTTCTTTACTTCCAATTGCAGTATTTTGTGTTTCTAAACAATACTTTAAATTTAACATTCTTTATTTGCAAAATGGTGTACAACATATATCCTAAGTATGAACTCTTGTCTTTTTCTTTTTGCTAAATATCAATAGCTTTACCTAAGGGCTTCAGAATTACACAATATTAAACTAAAAATTCAAATTTATTTTTTTTTAGGGTGGGTTTTCCTAACGCCATACAAAATTATTTACAATTGAAATTTATTTTCCGCTCCGTCCAAGAATTGTGTCTGTTATGTTTTGAGGCAGGTAACGTAGCAATCGCCAATTTTCTGAAATCCAATATTTATATTCCATACGACCAAAGGTCCATTACCACTTGACCATTCATTTAATCCTGAGTAAGCTAGGTATTTGTCGGTATTATTGCCAAGAATTTATTATTGTTAATACTTTTAATGATCCACATACTAAAAACTCAAAGTTGTGTTATTGTATTATAGTTTCTTCTTCTTGAAATAAACTTGTAGTGTAGATTTTTATGTTAATTACAAGTATTTAAAATTTTAGTTACATTTGTATTTAAAATCCTAGAAAAAAGTATTTAAATACGATCCATGTACTTCAAATACAATTTTTAATTCATATATTTAAACACTTAACAACACTGACTACTACTGAATCTGCGGGAAGAGACTTTGATTTCAGCAAGATAGCCTTCAAAAACATCCAAATTCATGTCTTCGTCCATATATCCCATATAGCACGACGATAAACTAACCAAATAAAAATCTCCGTGCGCCCCCAATATGGACGATTATCGGTCACTTCCTTTTTCCTGAAAGCTTTGGCGAGCATATTTTTGTTACTTTATAACCATCATTCGTCTTATTGAGAAAAGATGCCCTTTGCGGTATTTAAGTGGTAAAAAATGAAAGCAGCACCTTTCAATTATACACGGAAATTGATGGGAACTAAACACATCAACATTTGTTCCAGGATTCTTATATCAGCGAACTGAACTCGCTGTTTCAAAAAGTCGACGAACGACGTAGGGTAAGTGCAGAACCACCCTATAAGACGTGCCTTTTTTAAGGATGGCCTTGCAGAAACGAGAAGTTCCCGATTATCTGTGCGGCAAAATAAGCTTCGAGATTTTGCAGGAGCCGGTGATCACTCCCAGCGGCATAACCTACGATAAAAAGGATTTGGAGGAACATTTACAGGTGATATTGTCTATTTTGTTGGGGTCGCCACTGCGGGCAAATCTTTCAAAATAGCACCCAAAAACTTATAAGATCCAAATATGCCGAATTCATGAATCCAATGAATCTCTAATAACTAGCGCACTATTTTTCTAGTGTGCTAAGACAAAGTCACTATATCGTCAAATATTTGTGTTCACATGAGGTCAGCCAACACCTCCTAAAATACAGGCCATGCAACGCTAAAGTATGTGTCATCACATTAACGAAATGATATATCCGGTTCCATATTTAAAATATGAAATATCAGTGAATGAGAATAAAAGAAAGTTTTAATTGCTTTGTATGATTTTAATATTTAAAATATAGTAGAAATATGTGGAATAGTTAAAAATGAAGAATGTAGAAATTCATTCAGAGGCGGGTGCGTTCATGTTGGATTTTATTTTGTTTAATGGTTTATATGACAAATATAATTTTGATATCAAAATTATTTTGTTAAAACTAAGTAACATAAAATTAAATTTTAAGAACCACTGATTACCCATAAAGGCTTCTCGATGCCTTCTTTGGATCTATAGATTAATGTTTTATATCATGTGAACGTATCCGCTGTCGTGCGTCATTAGTCTTGCTTCGTAAGTTAATTTTTAATATTTTTAATTTCAATATTTCAAAGAAACTTCCGAACTTGGCCCATTCTTGCAATTCCCTTACATTTCGGAATACAGCAAGTGTTTTCCATAATTATATAAAATAAATGGTGAAATATAGGTTATCCTGCAGGTTACATACTGTTATATTTATTTGATTTATTTATTTTATTTACTTGCTCCTTGGGATACAAACAGGTTAAAACCACAATAGTGCCCTCTTAGCACCCGGCATAAAAAAGTAAAAGTATTAATATAACTAACATTTCAGATTGAAAAGCGCATCAATTCACCAATCATAGAGAAGGCAAAATAAATAAAAGGCTCTAATTTATTTATTTATTATGTGGTATATTTTAAATAAGCAAAAGCAATGAGAAAATTATGAATCAGATAGTGAATAGTCTAACGGTTAATGTGTGCTTTAAGAAATCATGTGATATCGTAAATTAATCCAGGTCTAAACAGTCAAGGTTTGCAGTTCTTAGCACACGTAGCCAGGGGAAATTTTAAAAGTTATTGGTGTTTCTAAAACATGATAAATTAAGGCATGCTTCTAAATTGTCGAGGTGTTATATCTCAGAGAAGTCTATATGGACATTTAAAATTTTATGCAAGAGAAGAATATCAGTAACTACTCTTCAATCCTCCAATATTAAGAGTTCAGAATGCATTCTTACGTCGTTTAAATCTTGGGATAATTTAAGATTTTCTTTATAAGAGAGGCATTTCAAAATATTTTTCTATAAACTTTCAATCCTATTTATGTACATATTTATGTATAAATTTAGTAGAATACTATGAACATATGCGTGGTACAGGCTAAGATAAGCGTGAGCCCCGTTGAACACCTTTACTGAAGCCTATCATTTGAAAACAGGATGATATGGGAAATATCAGCTTCACGTCTAATATTTAATTATTTTAACCGGGAATTTGTACAAAATAGCAAAATAAAAAAATTCCAACATCTTTATTCCAAAAAAAATTTGCTATCATTTCAAAATATTCAGTAATAAAATTCATATTCAAAATTCAAATGTCAGCGAGATACTTTTGCCCTAGCTATAATTTAATTTAATTCATTTAAATATATAAATCAAAATTTATAAAATTAAATATTGCATTATTTGGAAGCGCGTTCGTTGCTTGCAAGTAATCAGAAGAGGTTTAGAAAAGGTAAATTTATCATCACACACGTATTAGAGTTCAATTCTGGGCAGTCCGTTGTATATTATGTACACAAATGAACCCTGTTGTATATACTGTATTGTATGCAGGTGATGCAGGTGATACAATTTTGATTTTTAATTGTGAAGACGCTGATAAAATACAGGAAAACGTAAAAAAGATTTTGATGCCCTCGATCGGTACCTCTATGTACATATAATCAATTAATACAACAGGGTATATTTGTTCTCTTAAAACTTAAAATAGGGATTGCAGTATTTAAATAAGCTAAAGGATATTATCTAAGCTGCGTGGACTGCTAGGAATGTGAGCAGCAGTACTGCCCTGATGGCTGGCTTACAAACCCTTCTTTCTATCTAGACTTAGATATGAATTTCTTTTTTGGCGTAACTTCCGACTTTGGCAGGATTTTGCTTCTACAAAAAAATAATATGATATAAACATGATTATCTTACTAGATATAAACCAAGTCTTCAACCTATTCTCTATAATAGTTTTAATAGTTTTAATATTTATTTAGCATAATTTATGATCATGGTTTCTAAAAACCCTTTTATTTATTGAATGAATTCTTTAGAGATGAATAATCAAATTTAATATTGCAGATGTATTTCGTCTAATTTGTATATACGTAAAAATACATGTTTTTATTGTTCTTTTAGACTACATTAGACTGCGTTCCATGCCATGGGGCTATGTTTCTTTTTTCTTTCCAAAACCTACGCATGTGTCATAACAGCATGATTAAAAATGAAAAACCTCATAAAATCGTATTTTAAAGATAATTTAAAACTAACTTTGGCCTTGAAGGGTCCAATTCTCCACCATCATGGCCTGATAATTTAAAATCGTATTAGGATCGATAGTATTAACTAAAGGTATCGGTCCGTAAGCCATTGTACATTTTTTTGAAAGTTAATACCGGAAATATGGTTCACAATAACAATTTTGATGTCTGTGATCTAAATACGTAAACCGCAGGATTGCCTAAATTTTAGGTAATCCTTCGCATACATAAACGATGTCCTACCAAAAAACACTCAAAAAAGTAACACAAATATGTTGATTTCACACACTAAGTCTAATTTCTCAATCAAAATGTATAAATGAACATATAACCTTACGTCCTCTCCTTTTCGTGATGACTCACCGATTGTTTACAGTCTGTCGTTTCACGGCCTTATTGTAGAAGTAATCGAAAATCACCTTTTAGCACAGCACTGAATTATACTGTGATTTCAGAGTTCAATTTGTAATATTCGTTTCATATACTACGATGGATGCACCAAAAAGCAATCGTAGATTAAGCTCGCCAAAATAATGATATTGAATCTAATATGCATTAGCAAAATATCGGTCACTACAGGACGTTAGAATTTAGTTCTCTAAATCGACTTGACAACTAACTTGCATTTTGAGGTTTTTGTAAGTGACGAATAAAGTAACATTATATTTACCCTTTACTGTAGTCATTATACGTTCCCAGTTGATATGCCAATCTATTGGCAAGATATGCATTTGCCGAGGATACAGTTCTCGTTTAAAAGTGTCCAGTTTGGTGGATCCTGTACAATGTGTCGATTTTTTAATCCTGTGCTCGATTTATGTAAAACAAAAGATGCCATTTTCAAAACAATCCTAGGTGGCGTTGTTTTTGAGATACAGGGAGAAACAGCAATTTTGGCCATTTTTACTTAGCAACCAATAGCGTACTCAGATTTTTTGCAAAGTATATAATTTTCAAGATCCGAATGAAAGTTTTTTTTTGTAATCTAAATGTATTTTTTTGATTGATTGGGCTTTTTATTTATTATTATGTCATTACAAGAAATATGAATAGGATATAAAAAACAGTAAACTCAAAAAAAAACTGCCAAAACTAGCCAAAACAAATGTTAAGAAGCGGTCAGACATTTGTTTGCATAATATACGAATTGTGGACATTTGCGAGGATAATTGTGAAGAACGTAGAATTCATATTTCAGTGGCGTACTCAGATTTTTTTACAAAGGGGAAGTTTTGAGCTTAAAGTATATTCTTCGGATGATTCATCGTGAATGAGTATAAATATTTACAATATTGTTACCTATTGCTTTGTGATCAACCACGCCCAACTTTTGAGATACAGGATGGTAAAATTTTCACAAATAAAATATATTTTTTAAATATCTGTAATACCACTTTAAACATTGTAATTAAATTTGGCACACGTGTGCTATGTATCAAGAAGCATTATTTAGTGTATCACTTTTTTTTATTTCATTAGTGGCGAGCGTACGGAATTTCACATGTCTATTTTGGCAGACATGGTACGCTAGTGATTTCTGTTAAAATAGAAATTATTATTAAAATCTCCAGTAATTTATAAAGAAATTTAATATCTTGGTTAGTTTTTTTCAATCCGATCCGAGTTTTCGCTTAAAAAAATAAAAACCTCTTCTCTGCATGGTCATTACAATATCGTTAATATGACGGCATGTAGACAATTCTTATCATTATTATTTCTTAATTAAGTAATTGTCTATCTGTTTCATATTTTTCCTCAAATTCGTTGTAATCATTATACTCCTTTTGATTGACAGGATAATCAAAGTTTTCATAGCATTCTTGGTTAAACAATTCTTCCGTTATAAAATTCGGGGGTTCAATGTTGTTAGTACAATAATTTTGCCCTATCGGTCGTCTTGTACATGAATTATTTGTTTGTCTCGAGATACCTGACATTGGTGTCGGTTTAGGAAGTTGGTTGGGTGATATTTGATTGGGTTGGAAGACATTTCGTGGGGGTCCGAAAACTTCCCGATTTGTTGGAAATCGTCCTTGAGGTATTTGCCTCGGTTGAATATTTATTGATTGAGATTGAAATTGTGGTTTTTGGAGTTGATTTTGATATTGGTTTGGATTTGAAAAATTATTAAAATTGTTTGGCATGAAATTTGTGTTGGGATTTATTCCCGGCTGAAATCTATTTAGATTCGGCTGATTTTGGAATTGTTAAAATGGTTGAAAATGTTGTTTCTTGTTGAATTGTTGAAAATTTGGTGTTTGGAATTGTTTCACATTGTTTTGTTGGAAGTTGGATATTTGGAATTGTTTTGTTGTGTTGCTTAGATTCCCGTAGAGGTTTTCTAAATTTTCAAATTCAGAAACATAAGCAATGGCTTCCTCTAATGAATC